AAAAAAATTTCTCCCCAGCCAAATCAAATCACAATCCAATCTTTAATCTTCCATTTCTTTTTCTCATTCTATTTCTTCTCCCATTCCTGTTCTTTTCATTATCTCTTAATCTCACCCTCTGTAGCTTACTCTCTCTCTGTATTTCTCTCTTAGTTTCCTTCATCCTTCCATGATTCTATAACCCAAAGCCTAATCTCCTTCATCCCATTCTCCAAAATGTGAAATACCTTCGACCCATTTCATCAACTTTGAATTTCATAGGTAATCACTGGTTCTTTTGATTTTATAATTACTGAAATCTTCTATGAGATTTTTTTTTCCTGTTCCGAATCTCTTAAGCACCAGCAAAAAAGAACATGCACGGGCACAAATTTTTATCAACTTGAACAAATGTTTGCTTTTTCTCCATGTTAATCATTTTGTGTTGTGGATATTTGATTAGTGGTTTGGTTTTGATATGGTATCTAGTGGCGTCTGATGGCTTACTTTCTGTCGTGGTTCGAGTGTTTTAATTTGGTTCATTTTTATTGTTTGCTTTGATACTTTTGTATCATTGGATGGCTCTGATATAGGAACAGGCATTAAATTTTTTATACCTTTTGAATTGTGTTTTAAGTGTTTGGTTTAGTGCAGCCATTTTCATGAAATATTAGACCTGTGTCTCAAGTGTTAGTGTTTGATTCATTTTTTTCTTGATTACAGCCTTTTACTTGTGCAATTCATATGCATAATCAATTAAAACAAACTTGATTTCAAGTTCAATTGGAAAATCACAGCTTGAGTTTCGCATTTTGTGTTTGGTTAAAACCCTATTTTGGTCCCTGAACTATTGTACGGACCTCCGATTTGGTCCCTGAACTAAAAAAATCGCTGATTTGGTCCCTACTGTTTACCATTTTTACCCCGATTTAGTCCTTCCGTTAAAATCTCACCGTTATCTCACGACAATTTAATGACATGGCAAACATTTGAGACACGTCAGTTGTATAAATGAATAAATAATGACATGGCAACGTGACATGTCATGTTTTTGCCCAACCCAACAAAAGTGGAGCCCATCAAAATTACGAATTTGCCATCATCTTCTTCCTCCAACAAACAAACCCAGCACCTGGGTTGAATCGAACCCAACAATGCCCTTTTTTTTTCCTTCCTCTTCCTTGCCTTGCTTTCTTCATCATCATCAAACACCAAACCCACAGAAAAAAAATATATTTTTTTTACCCTTGGGTTTGAGGAACCCAGGTGTGTTGGGTTCTTCGAACCCACGCCTGAGTTCCGTTGAATCCATGCCTGGGTTCGACAGAACCCAGCCGCGAACCAGCTGGGTTCGAGGGAACCTAGCGCTTGGGTTCCTTCGAACCTAGCACCTTGGGTTCCTTGGAACCCAACCTGGGCAAGCGTGCTGGGTTCACAAGGAACCCAGCGCCTGGGTGGGTTCGAAGGAACCCAGGCCTGCTGGGTTCCGAGGGGAAAGAGAAGGGAAAGGGGAAGGAGAAAGGGAAAGGGAAAGGAGAAAGGGAAAGGGAAAGGAGAAGGAGAAAGAAAAAAGAAAAAAAAAATTTTAATTTTATTTTTCATAATATTTTTTTATATTATTATTTTTTCCACATCATCACTTTTTGGCTATATTATCTTACACGTGGATCATTGCATGACATGTCATTTGGTAACCGTGAAATAACAGGCCACGTCATACAATTTTTAACGAAAGGACCAAATCGGGATAAAAATGGTAAACAGTAGGGACCAAATCAGGAATTTTTTTAGTTTAGAGACCAAATTGGGGGTCTGTACAATAGCTCAGGGACCAAAAGGGGTTTTAACCTTTGTGTTTCATTCATTTTAATCTTACAGTAGATCGTGTATGAACAGCTTTGGATCTTTGGATAAAAAAAAAAAAAAAAGTTTGCTGGAAATTTGGGTAACAAAGTTGAGGGCCGAAAAAATCATTAATTCGGTGAAGGCTCAGAAAACAAACTAAAGGCCCAACAAATCACTAATTCAGGCCCAAAAATTGAATTTTTTAAAATCAAATAAAATCGAGACTGATACTAACCGAACTGACTAATTTGGTTTTAAAACCGAAAACTGTAGTGTTATTTGGATTGGTTTTCAGTTGCTACCTCACAAAAAAAATCGATCGAAAAAACTATCAGTTTGGGTTTGATTTCAACCAATCGAATCAATGCCTATTCTTTTTTTTTTTTTTTTCCTTAACTGAAGCTTGATGAATCAATGCCTATTTTTAGTTACACTGCATATGATAGGATGAGTTTAAAAATATAAGAGAATTGTGTCTTATTATATTACAGAAAAATTACATTATCAAACATTAGATTTTTCTCTTGATACTACAGCGCAATACTATCTAGTACCTTCTCGATTCAAAATTTAGTATGGAGAGCCTTTTTGCAAGCTCATGAGTAAGACTGAGCAAACGGTTGGTTAATTAAATAAATAATAAAAAATTAATTAAATAGTTAGTTATAAATTGTTATCTGTTATTTTTTAAATTTTAGTTAGATAACTAAAAAAATTTTGTTGGTTAATGGTTAGAAGATTGAAAAACTAAAACCAAATATATAACCAAAAAGTAAAATTTTATATTAATAAATAAATAATCATTATTTTAAATATTATAAATAAACATAAAAATCATCTTATTTAATTTTATTTTCAAGTTTTATCTTGTAAATTTTGTTATA